TGTATGTGCAAGGGCCATGACAAATAATGGGAGGAACACCACTCAAACCAAAATTTACACACTAAAAAAAGATAGTACTCCATGAGATGTGTCAATCAGTGCTATCAATCAGCATGTCTGTAGTTGGATGGGTGATTGAATGTTCAGGATGCATACTTTCATGTGGTGTAAAACCTAAAAGAACCAGGCCAAAGCCAAACAAACAAATAACATAGTGCTGGATAAATGGAGCGATAAGAAAGAGAGCCCAAGCGCTGAGACAGCCAGTTCTTAAATGCTCCAGGGAGACTGACCAGGTGCTCTCAGTTACACGGATTAACCCCACCTACCAGGAACCTGCACACACACAGGGACAAACAGAAAAAGCAGCAGGCCATGGCAGAGGGCTGTCACACGTAGCTATGTGGGTGGGTAAGTGAATCTGTGCCACTTTGTCATCATGAGTAGTTATGCATGACTCGTCTGTTTGTGTTGCAGGTGTGAGACGGGCTTCATTGGTTCCAGGTGTGAGAAACTGGAACTTGTTTTGGGGCCAGAAGGTGAAAAGCAAATAATTATCATCATTTTCTTCATGATTCTGCTGATTATTGGATTGGCTGGAGCTCTATACTTTTTCTGCAGATGGTAAGGCTTTGGTATGTGAATGTATGTGAATATACGTGTGGTTACTTAGTAGGCCTCAAACTAAAGCAATGAGATTTCTTACAAAAACTGAACGCTGAGAACAAAGAGGAGCCCAGAGCAGAAAAGAAACAGACTTTTGGCTCATGTGGATTATTTTAACATAAGCTGACATCATTTGAAGCCATGTTGAATATGAGCTTTGACTGTTGCAGCAGTACATATGAAAAAGAAAATAATAACATTTTGTCTCCATGGAATATGTCAAAAGTAACCTGCACATTAAGCTGCTAAAAGTCTACCACTAAAACTCTGAGGGTATTTGTGACACTACAGATAAACCTACAGATCTACATTTTACTTTAAATATTGAAGTTCATGAAATAAAATCTTGCCCTCAGCATCCTGCTCCATGCACACGCAGCAAACCACAAAGAACGGCTATGACCGAAATCCCATTTCAAGTTCCTCAACTTTCAGTGTTGACTATATTAAAGCATGAAATGGTGAAATGCTACATCACCAAGACAGGATTTGTGTATTTTGAAATAAAATCAATATGTGTTATTTTTGTAGGTATAAGAAGAATAGTTTTCGACATCAGCTGAAGCGGCAGGGTTACAAAGGAGTCGAGATGGCTTAGAGCACTTCACGCTCTCTTGCAGCATCCACTGCTGGAAAAGACAAATCAAGATTTCTCCCAGTTTTCTAAATGAAAAGTTCAACATATCAAGAACATCCTGGCAGTTCAGTGGCTAGCTTAGTAAATTGTTCCTGCCTCCTTTACACTGTACGTCATGTGGCTTTATCAAGCAGGCACCACAAAGAGGTTATAATGGTCAGCTTTGTGTGCGGTGGGATTGTTTTCCAGCTGCACTGGTTCTAAAGTTGCGGCACCTGTTACACTCAGTTTGAAAAGATGAATAGTTAGGCACACAAAAACAGTTTCTGTGGGTGACACCGCCCACACGATACTGAAAAATTAATGGAAAATAAACAATTGTGAAGCGGTAACTATAGTAACTTGTAACGCAACAAAAAAAAAAAAAATGTTGCTCCGAATTTGCTGATAACTAGCAGAATTGATCATAATCAATATAATAATGTAGTTTCCTCACTTTGGGATTTCTGTTTTTTGCTAGAATGCAAGTCGAATTTTAGAATATGAAAGGCTTTTCTGTGGTTCAGTGAGGCTGCGTTATCTTTTGAATCAACGCACTCTCAGATCCTAAAATAGAACTGGTTAAAGATGTTTTGTTTGTCTTCCAGTCCTGTCTACTCTGACTTAACATCCTAAAAAACAGATTAGCACTGTTTACACTGTGGTTTGAACTTTGCCTTTAATTTATGCTTGTGCCTAGCTTTTAGCTTTTATTAGATATCATTTTTTTTTTGTCTTGCACAAGTATCAAAATGGCCACTATTACTATTATATTGATGTTACTTTAAATTGGCCAATGAGTGTAAAGTTTTGAGCTTTAATGCTTGAAACTTTGTGTAGTGTGAAGGTTTCCTCATTCTTATAAGTTCAGTTGGTAATGTTTATATACTCTACAATCTCCGTCTGTGTTTGAAGCTACAAAGTATTTATTTTTTTTACTTGTTTTTTTTTTTATTCTTGTATCTTTCAATGTCTTCACTCATTCTTCAGGTGATAAGGCTGCAGCGGTGAGGCTTCAAATTCTTCTCAAGCCTTCCTGCAGTCTTCACATTTTTCTTACATGTCATCAATATCTCTCTTTAATATATATATTGATATGTATTGTGTGTTTTTTTAAAAAATTTATTTAACTTTTTTTGTCCTTTACATTTTATACACATGTAAGAATACTTTTTGCTGTACAGTTTGCAAAATAATCTTCCTTGGGCAGTGTTATCTGGACTTGTACCAGGGGAAACATTGCTGTGCTGATGGTGATGCTGGCTTTTGCACTTCTGCGGGTTTGCCACAGAAATGCTTTGCAAATGGAAACCAGGCGGTAAGAGCCTTGGCTCTTCTGATAAAACTCTGAGAACGCCATCTCCAAAAAGCTTTCCTTTGAGTTCTTCTTCATTTGAGTCTAATAAAAGACTGACAAATGACTACAAGTTACGTGTACTGTATGCATCCAAACTCCCCCTATTAAATCCAAATAAATATGCATGTCTGTGGTCATCATCTGACCTACCGAGTGCAGTGTCAGATGTCAAGTTAATCAATAGCTTCATTTTACACTCAACCAGAGCCAATGATCCATTTTAACACCTCGCCTGGATCCGCTTTACACGTTCTGTATACCAATGAACAGCGGCGATGACACGTAAACATTAACTCACCTGCAGCTGCTGCTCTGTTAAGAAATACTTAAAAACACATTAGCATGCGCTTACACACGCGATGACCCACAAACACACCCACTCTGTGGTGGCCATTTTGTTCTAAACATAAAACCCGTGGATAAAGATATTCGAAATTCAGGAACTGCTGCTCTAATCCCTGCACTGTGCTATTACTTATTATTGCATAAGTAATAGTAGGCTACTCATGCAGTGAGTAATACAGTGGGGGAAGCCCCACTAAGCTGCATCTTCGTGTGTTCTTTAACAAACAAGTCTCGTGTCTATCACGTATGCGTTTGTTTTGCTTCTCAAGTCAGGTTTGTGTTTTAGTTTCTGTTATATTTGTATTATTCGCTGTCATTTATGCTCGAAGAGTCGCTTTCTAGATGGAAATGCCGACTATTAAGGCTCCAGATTGAAAGACCACATACATCATTTAAGGGCACTCAGCGGAGAGACATAATTAAGGTGAAATTTATAGTTTTCAGGAAGATGCTGCAGTTGCTTTTCTGCCATTAATACTAGTTGGTAAAGTTGCAAGAATTCATCTTCAGGGCAATAAATTTAAGAAGCAGATCTAAATAAACCGAGAACTGAATCAGCTACAAAAGGCACCATGTAGACAACAGTGTACATATACATTAAAAAACTTTAAGCTAATACTTCACATGGGAAATTATGCTTTTAACGAAAAAGTAGAGATTCAACATCGGCAGCTAGTAACATTGTAACAGTGTTGTGAAGATGCACAAAGACATCTAATTGTATTTTTGTGTTCAAGTTTTCATCCTGCGTGCCTTTAGCTTGACAGCAGTGTGTTTACTGTGGGTGGCTGTTATGAGGTGCTTCTCTCCTGGCTTGTGGCAGACTTTCCACACATCCATATCTCATATCCTCAATGTCATTACACATATCCAAACAAATTCCATTGCGTGTTTATCCTCAACAAAGCGTGCCAGGAGCTCCAAGGCATTGTTACAGAATGAGATGGAGTAGTTCCCTGCATTCCTAGCAGGTTTGTGTTTGATTCCACTAGTGCATGACCGATGGGACAACCTGTATCTGCAGACACAACAACATAAACAACACACCCTTGTGTGCAGCTTCCCCACCCAAGCCTTAAGGTCTCCTCTTAGTTACAGTGTACAGAAATAGTAACACTGAGTATAATTTGATAAAACACACACACATAATAATTCAGACAGAACCACAACCCGTCGAACAAAACGAAACAACAATAAAACAGAGAGCGCTCATTGTTATAGGCAAATAAATAAAAACAGGTAACAAGTAACACACACTTAAAAAGATTATGTTAAAAAAGTATCTTATATCTCAGAAAATAAGACACATTCAGAGGTGTATTTTCTAGAAGCCAGCCACAATTCGAAACAAGCACTCATAGATACTCTTTTTATGACCCCTTACTGCTCTCACTGTAATGTAGCATTTTTTTAAATTTTATCTTTGTACCTTGACTAAAGTGTAGCTATGACTTGATTACAGAAAAAGGTGTGTATAGTTGCTGTCAATTAAGAACCCAGTAACTTTACTTTTGTGGTTTGCTTATGATTTTGTCTAAGATTAGTCAACACTTTGGCCATTCAATAAATGACACATGATGGCCTAGAAAGTTGTTTTCAAGTTAATGTTGAAAAGCTTTATAATATCCTGGTATGTGTCTTATCACTACAGAAGGTATAATTAAGGCCATATAAAGTCAGCCCCACGGAAGTAATAAAAGTTACCAAACAGGTGATAAAAAGCCAAGAGCTTAGTGACCCAGTGTCGCCCACGCTTATTATTCCCACCTGAACGTGAGGTGCAAAATGTATTGCCTGGGGCAGATGAATTAGTAGACACACACGAATAAGCCACACACACACAAGCACAATACGTTTTTTACTCTCTCTCTCCTGTGCTCTCTCTTTGCTCTCTCTTTGCCTCATGCACACACACTCACAAGTGCACACACACACACCCATCTGTTTCCTTCAAGTTGAGAAGCAGGCGTTGGTCTATAAAAGCTGCACCCAGTGGAGGTGAAGAGAGCAAAGCACACTCTCGATCAGCGGGGGACAAAGACACACTTCGACACCTACTCACACACACGTTAGTGCAGGACTATCATACACAAAACACTTGCTTCCTGGGATATGAACCCTCTCATCCTCACCTGTTTCCTGTGCTTCGGTAAGTCTGAACTTGTACTTAAAAGTGTCTGTGTGTTTGTGTGTGTGCGCAGATAGTTTAAATGACTGAAATGAAAAGAGAAATGCAAATGGCATGACAGCAAGGCATGGGTCAGGGGAGAAAACTTGTATCCACAAGCTAGGACTTGTCAGAGAGGAGAGAGGTATTTGAGAAATTTATTTTTCTGTCAGAAATTTATTTTTGGTCTCTCTTCTAGAGACCAAACTATTACCAGACATTGTGCAGGAGACACACCAGACGCACAGAAAGGTCATCATATTTCGAATACTTCATTATCCTTTCACTGAATCCTATTCATCACTGGTGCAATACAGTCCTCAATGTGGACTGGTTGTACTGGTTTAAGATTGTTCCCAGCAGAGGAAGGTGAAATAATGAGTCAGAGGTAAAGCTATATGAGCACAATTTCTAAAGAAAGTAACTCACACAAAGTTCATGGTAAGAATAAAAAAGAAAAGAATGAAAATAAATGACTGCCAAGACTGATTTCTAAAATAGTTGATCAGCAGATCGGCAACTATTCACGTCTTTTTCTATTTATAGCTCTGAAAGAGTGTTTTTCACAATCCAAGATGTTGATCTGGATCAAAAGAAGTAAACTTTGACTTAATTGTGTATTTCTATGTAGATTTAATGTCTTATTCATTTCTGTTGGCTTTTTTCTGTAGTCTGCAGTGCTCTAAGTGCTCAGGGATCTACAACCACACAGTCAGGTGACCAAGTTGGAGTGACTGTCGACCTGGCCTCAGGGGAAGGCCTCCAGAATTTGCACAGCGATGATGAGGGGTTGGAAGAGGACGTAATTTCAGGAGGAGGTGATGAAAATGTCAGCTTCCATGGTACAAGGGAATCTTTTATCTGAGTATATAACTGTGTGATTTGTATATCTCTGTTTCTTTTAAGAAAGATGAGTATATAAAATTGTATGAAAGTGAAGTTCTCTTGACTTTAACAGCTTCAATTGATTAAAAAAAAAATGTTTTCAGCCTTTAAGTCTAGGGAGTTAAAATGACACCCTAAACAACTGCGGATGCTTCCTTTCCTCCTACAGACTCGCATCCCAACAGAGATGAGAAGAAGAAAAAGAAGGGCAAAGACAAGAGGAGGAACAAACACAAGGGCAAAAGCACAACTCCTTTCAAACCCGAGCACATGGTCTTCACTAGTGGACACACATCCACTCTCAGGACCAATGAGGATCCCTGCAACACCTCCCACCTGGGCTACTGCATTCATGGATACTGCAAGCACATAGACGGCCTGCATGAACCAGTTTGTATGTAAGTACAGTCCTGGCCCCATTGTATTTTTGCATGAGAAAATATGAGCTCTATGGTTGGTACAAGCATGTGGCCTTCTCTGAATCGGAACTAAATCATGTTTGGGATCATTTGCAATCATCAAAATGAATGATGTAGACACAAAACCCCCAAAACAATTATACTGTTAAAACCACTGCCTCACCTGAACGTGACTAATAGGCAGGTTCAGACAGATTCAAGTTATTGGAACAACTTGAAAAAAATCATTCAAACACTCATCAATATCTGATATAAAAGCCTCTTCATTGAGTCATCACACTGATTTCTTAACTCTTCTTTCTGCAGATGTATGAAGGGTTATGATGGAGAGCGCTGTGGGATCCAGACTCTGGGGACAGTGAAAAATGAGCCCACCGAGACCGACAATGCTGAGCTGGTGCAGACGGTCTTAGTGGTCATCGCCGTGGTTCTTTCAGTCATCAGCTGTACCGCCATACTGCTTATGACCTGTGCTTAGTGAGTTTGAAACTGTCACACAGCCAAACACACAAAAAGACACACAACAAGACACACTATTTGGTGGTAAGGCTGAAGCAACCAAAGCATTAGTTTCTGGCTGAAGGATTTTAAAGTAAGTGGATAAAATTCCAAACATGAAAAAATTAGTGGTAACATAACACATATATCAGAATATGCCAATTGTTATATATAACAACATTTTAAAAGAAAAGAAAAGCCTCTAATTTGGCCTTAATTAATGGTGCCAAAATTTAAAATTTAGCCTTCATTTAACTTTTCTCTTTTCCTAGATATAGATAGGTCTGGGTTAACCGAGTATTTTATTGTATTAGTATGAGTAACCCATCTTCAATTCACTGATGAACTCTTAATAGTAAACTTAAATCTTTCTTTTGTTCCCAGTTGTAAAAGCAGTCAAAATACAACTTTACAACTTGAAAAAAAAATCCTCATAGTTGGATAGTGGGTTTATTTTTACAGCAATAAACCCGCCATTGTTAACTGAGGAGAATGAGGTGCAGAAAAGCCTAAATGTAATGTCCCCACAAACTCACCACTATCAGACCCCAATATACCTGCTATCAGTGTGACCATCTTCACCAAAGCTGGAACAACATTAAGACAAAGCCTGATTGTGGTGATTTTGTGAAAAAGTAATCTTCTTCTTCTTTTTTACATTTAAAGTATTGTAGAGAAGATTATCCAATAAACCATCCACACCCCATGAATCCCAACAGAACAAAGGTTACGCTACCAAGATCCAGGCCAGAAACACTTCCTGGCATATGACCACACTGACACATCAAAAAGTACATTAACACACCCGAACACACCCAGACTTTAGAGTTATTGCTCACCACTTGGCCAAGATCAACTCAAATGACTTCTACAGCTCTAATGGTCATTCCTGTTCCTACAGCACCATCAACGGTGTCACCTCACTGTTGTTTTATCAGAAAGGCTGTAAGGTCTTTTGTATTACTCTTACTTTTTTTGAATCTTGAATTCCTGTAACGGTATGACAAGCAATGTATTACATAATCACAGTTTCTTATCAATATGTAATGAAATCAAAGGTATTATTTGAATTGTGGACAGGGTCAATAGTCCATGATGGTGCAAATAAAACAAGCAGACATGCAATTAAAGCTTTACAGCCACGGTTAGTTATACTCAGTTGGAGAAAACGAGAGAAAGTAGGACTTATTTCTGTGAGTCTGAAACTTAAATAGCCATATGCTTTTTATGTGCACAGCCCATAGAAATGACAGTGAAAACGTCACCATAAAATGTATTTATCTCTATAAGACCATTACCATGTAGCTGGCACTGCAGTCCTGGCTTTCAAAATCGCTGATTCTTTCACTTATCTGAGCTGTTTGGGCTTTTGATACTAATTTTAAAGTCTTGTGTAGTTACAGGTCACATAAAAACTTCCTGGCTTCCTACCTTGGAACCGTGTCAGAGCAGGAGAAGCTTCAGAAACACCCTGGTGACGTTGTCGTTTGAGAGCGTTAAGTTACAATGAGGTAGGTGCTCCTGAGGTTTTGACCTCCTTATGTGCAAACCAACACGTACTCACTGTACTTATTGTTTATACAACTCAGTGTTTATTGCACCCATAAAATAACCCATAAAAAATAAGAATAAAGATATAAAACAATACATACCATGAAAATGACAACTACGACCTTTACCAAGCTGGATAATGTGTCAGTGCTGTTGCAGTAATGCCATCAGTGCAGCAACATTGATATAATCTTCTCGTATTTCTGGCGCTGTATGGTTTCGTGATGTATTTTTCACCTATGGTCTTGCTTAACTCCTTAGAGGAGTGTGTCTAGCCACTGATCACATGAGTCTAAGCCAAACAGGAAGGAGTGGGCTCACTGAATGACAGGAGCGCACGTACGACTGTTGTTGTTGTTGAATACATGCATCATGCAGATCAAGAGAGATCCCTACTAGAGGCATTAGTCGGGATTAGTGAGGGGTGTCTCCACTTGTTCCATCAATGAAGTGAATAGCAGCGTAAAGAGAAACCACACGCTCATTTGTACACATTCACCTGCGTGTCCTGAACAATAAGAGTATTGACATACTGACTTTGCACGTGATGCCCTATAAAGAGATAATTACTCATTAAATCTTACGGAGCAGCACATGCAAACATGCATGATGACTTTACATGTTTGGAAACAAAACACTTTAGTTTCAAGATATACACAGTGTGGACATGCCGTATTGTCTTCATAAGCTTTTTATTGTGGCAATTTAGGAATTGCTGAAATACGGGATTTCTGTTACACTGCCACAATGAAGCATGATGACAAAAATGAGTGACTAGAATGAGGGAAAGTAATTAAAAGGGACAGATTATTTAATCCTGTTTATTTGCGGTTAAAAAAATATTTTTATTACTCTTTATTTGTCTTTAAAACCCCAAATGACATAAAAATCTACACAAATTAAAATAAAACATATCTGCACCGTTATATTACTCAGGCAGAGCAAAAACACCACAAAGTGCAATATCAGAATTGTAGAGTTTTGCTTTACATAGTTAAAAAAGGATTGTATGTAAGTTTCAAAATGAAACTATTGCATAGATTTCTACTAAAACATTAATTTATGTATTTTTTGACCTTGCATTTCTGTCTTTCCACAGCAATGCTAAACAGTTCAAAGAACTTGGCTCTGACCACCCGAGAGACGAGAGAATAGATGGCTTCAATAGATGCTGTGTAAAAACACTGTCCAGAATTTATTAGAATGTAATTTATTTAGTACTATTATTTATTGTTAACAACTATATACGTATCTGTATGTTGGACTACTATTATAATATCTTTTATCTGTGAATGCTGAGGATGCAGCCTTTTGATGTTCTCTAGTTTTGGTTTTATTTATTGTACTGCTTTTGTTATAGGTCAGAAAACACTCTTCATTTCACTCTGGAAAAGGGATGGAATATGATCACCAATAAAATGTCCCAGTGTTATGTGAAAATGATATTTGTTCGCTCATTTCTGCCTTAGATTTATATTTACATTCCTACCTCTGGAAGCATCCAGAGTCTCAGCAGCTTGTTTACATGAACAAGGAAATCTTGTGGACAAAGTAGATAAGAATAAGCATGAAAGTACTGCTCCAAAAACTGACATCATCAAGGTAATCAGACACACATGAGGGCAATACAAAAGTAGGAGAGACTGGAAAGTTGCCTTTGGTATGTGTTTGTGCTACAAGCTCAGATTTACCATTTCAGTGGTAAATCTTGTAAGACCAACATATTTTTAATATATAAAACAAAACATATCAAATATAACCTTATTTCACTACACCTACAAGCATATGAAGCATTTCCTTTGCAAAATTTACAACCGTGAGAGAACTTTTGAATGAATGTTCAACGTGCTCTTGCACTGTCTAACTGATAAAAAGAAACAGGGGTGCATCTAGTCTGAGCTATTTTTATGTTTCAAATATCTTTTATTAGGAGCAAGTATCATAAGTCTGAGCTATTTTTAGAGTGCTTGGGTAATTTAAAAGTCTCTCACAACACAAATGTAGGAAAAAAAACAACAAAAAAACATAATTATATGGTTCAGGACAAAGAAGACTAAAGCACATTGCATAAAGAAAGACCAACTGTTTCACAGGCAGATTTGGCTGCAGCCACAATGCATTCATGTCAAAAGGACAAATGTTACACAAACTTATCTGGATAAGCAGAAAATCGCTGGAGTTCATGCTTTATACTCAACTTTTTTAAAAAAAGAGAGCGTGTTAGTAATGATGAAATTTTCAATTCAATCTCATCACTATAGTGACACCAGGTTACAGTGGTTACATATCATTTTTCCACAAGCAGGCGAGTCTGATCACTCGCACACTCGTCATATAAATTAGACAATGAAATCTCAGGCAAAGGTTCAATGTCGTGAGAGTTTTTATTTAAACCTAAACCATGATTTTACCTCTAAACATATCCTTTCAAGGCCTTAACTTAAACATTTTAATACCTAAACCTAACCAAACCCAGCAAAAAAAGTTACAAATTAAAGTAAGACGAAGTACAAAAGAGAAAAAGATTAGACACATTAGTATGTGACAAGTTGCTGTGAGAGTGTGTTGAGTTTGAACGTATGAATCTTGCGTCACTTGACTCAGTTCCGGGAATAGTAAGGGAGTGATCAGCAAGGAAACATTTATGACAGAAGACCTTACTTCTGTTACTAAACACAGATACTTTAAATGTTCATATCTACTGTATTTCAGGGGTAGAATCACAGTCGCTTTACTACATGTTTTGAAATTGATTTGTTAGATAAAAACTATTTGTGGCATTGCTTTTTGAGATCACAATATCTGCAACCCCATTAGGTTTTCCCCTATCTTAAAACATGACCTTCGTTTAGATTAAAACTACATACTTGCAAAGTTTTAGAACTAAAATCTGCCCACAGACTGACAGAGCTGATGTAATCACAGACCTAGCCCTGGGTGGCTGTCAGGGGTGAGACAGTGCAGGGTAAAGACTGTGATTTGAGTGGAAGATTCACATTCAGCTCTGTTGGGTAATGTCTAAAAATGTTCTTGGCCATATAGCATGTATGGAAATGATTATACATTATACAACCTCAGTATGCAAAGCCCTTTTTGTGGGAGTTACCACTACAGTAGGTGTCTCCTGCAGGATGGCATTTTTCTGTGATGACATAAATACACACAAAGGCAGACAAACAAAATGAAAAAAATAACAGGGCCATCATGGCGGGTAAATACTGCTCAAAAACATTAAAGGAATTCCAACTGGGCTCCACCTTGAGTGTCAGTGGCTACAGGGCCCAGTAGAAGACGTTGGCCACCTTCATGAAGTCTGTTTTCTGATGATTTGGTCAGAGAAATTCATAACAGTGGCCATTGGCATGTATTAATGTGCCATCCTGGAGGAGCTGGACTACCTGTGCAACATCTGTAGGGTCCAGGTATTGCCTCACTCTACCAGTAGTGACACTGATCGTAGCCAAAAACAGTGAGAAAAGATGAAGAGGGAAAAATGTCAGTGGCCTCCACCTGTAAAACTACTCCTGTCTTGGCATTGTCTCATTGTTGCCCCTCTAGTCCATCTGTTGTTAACTGATCACATCAATATCCCAGAAGTTTGAATGACTTGATCTTTTGATCAAAAAGCGCTCTATTTTTTAAGCTGCATATAACTTATTTATGCACCAGATAATAAACCTTGATGAAGGGAGTCATAAAAATATCACAACTTAAACTGAATGAGGAACTGGTGTGTACAGAGGCCAGTGTCCTATTGGCTGACCTAGTCTGGTAATCCTTTGCTCCATACTTATTGGTCAGACCACATCCATCTTTGGAACTTTGCCATTTGAGCTCAATTTTCCATCTGCAAAATTCTTACTGTAATTTGCGCTTGTGTGAAATTAATGATCAGTAAGCAAATATCATATAGACCAGTGGTTCCCAAACTTTTTTTGCTAGGCCCCCCTTTGTTTTACAAGAAAAAATTATTTTCGCGATTTTCCCCTTTTCCCCCACCACCACCTAACACCCCCCACACAAACACAAACACATCCTCCAACCACAGACACCCATATTTTGTTTTAAAACTCCATTGCGGTTTATTTCACACCTCAAACATTCAGTAAACACAAATAAAAGCAAACTGCAATAAATTACAGGTAGTAATAAAATACACTACTAACTCTTTTACACTATGTCCACACCTACACAGGTATTTTTGAAGATATGCTTCACCATATTTTCTAGTCTTTGGCTTGGAAGGAAGTTGGTTTGGAAACATATTTGGCGATGCTTCATCTCCTGCTTTGCGTTTGTGTGGGAGCCCCGTCAAAACCTATCCATTATGCTAGCAGTGTCCAAGCGTTCGTTTTTTTTCTTTCTTTTTCTTTCTTTTTCATACCACGCCCCCACTGCAATGGCTCTGCGCTCCCCCTTGGGGGCGGACCCCACACTTTGATATAGACTATAATATAGACAGTGAGTTTAGTATGTCTGACGTTTGCATTCTAATGTGTTGCTTTCTCATTATAATTAGGATATACAGATGGAAACTGTCAAGGAATCAGTGGAAGGAAAAAACTGAAAGTCCATGTGGCGGGGTGTCAGTTGCAAACACACAAGAACACGCGATTATAACAGAGTTAGTTTACATTTTGCGTTAGAACATTTTTTTCTTTGTCAAAATTTGTAGCTTTTTTATGCCATATTATAGACTGACTTTAAATAACTTTTTACTGTTACTTAATTCTGGTACTTGTCAGCAGCTTCAGTGTTACATTGTGTTACACTTATATACAGGTGGCAAAAGTACAGATATTCTGTACCTAAGTAGAATTACAGATTTGTGTTAAAACACTCTGGTAAAAGATAAAATACTGATTCAACTTATTTACTCATGTAAGAGTGAAAAAGTAAAGCCTCTGAAAATGTACTTAAAGCAAGAAAGTGAAACGTAGCTTTTTTGAGGATGTTTCTATCAGCTATTTTTTGGCAAAGTGAACTGAAAAACATGCTATATTAAAATAATAACATCATATAAATATTTTTAAAGTTATGTTTGAGTGGTAAATTTGAATTTACCAAAATATGGAAAAATAACCTGTTTATACTGCACTAAATTTCATGCAACCTTTATATAACGCAAAGTTAGTATACTTCAGTTTGTTTTGCAGTATGTTTCACGATCTGAAAAATCAAACCTTCACATCACGTACAGATCCAATGTCTGATTTAAGAAAAAAATCAAACAAAGCAACAGAACATCCTTTACATCTTTGTAGGAGGGCACAGGTTTTAAAACGGACTTTAGTCATCTTATCTTTGGGCCATTGCGCCAAAGCATATTTGTTTGCACTTTAACTCACAGATAAAGATGCTGAATCACCTCCTGAGATAAACGAGCTTCCAGTTTCAGTTATAAAACAAGGCTTCACTCTATGCCTGCGGTGTTGCGTCACAAGTGAAAAAAGGCAAGGCAAAGCTCCTCCAACTTGGACATGTACCCAACTCTAGGTAAACATTTACTCTGATTTTATGTGTGTGGATGTGTGTGTATGAGACAGAGAGAGACAGTGACAGGGAGGGCTATTTAAACATGACAAAGACACACAAACACTGACAAGATAAGTTTGTATGGGTGTGGCAAACTTTGATAGTTTCACCCGCATCGAGGTGGGCCTGTGAGCTTTTGTGGGTGCCCATGGAAACAGAGTAAACACAAAAGCAGGTGTCTGGTCAGTTTAATTCACTAAGAGCTCAAAAAAAAGACATGATGGAATTTGATAGGTGTGGTATGTTTTCCCCCTTCACCTGTAAAGGAACAGGACTAATACCAAGGTAAGTAGATTTTATCTCTTGTTTTTAATTTCTTACACAGACTTGCGTTTCAGGTAACGTTTTAGTCAACTGAAAAAACCAAAAAACCAAACGGATCAAATTAAATAAGAATGACTGTGTTTTAACACAATACAGAGATTATATTTTGAACCTTAGTTTTGTGAATGTGGCCACATTCTTTAGCACACCTAGCACAAATAAAAATTGTTGCATGTTTACTGATAAGATATTGTAAACTAACTTAAGCCTAATAAACTAGATAACATGAAATAAAGTAAATAAAAATAATAATTAAAAAATGTGGCCATATAATACTAATCCTTTCCTCTTGGAAAGATGAGGCTTAAAATTTGCAGGTAGTTTTAAAATCTATCTATAAGTAACTACCTGAAAATTTTATGATGCTGCCAAGGGCGTAGATTTGGTTTTGGCATTGGTGGGGACGGATGATTCAACCACCGAACCCTGCCCTGTTTTTTTTTTTTTTTCCTTTTTGTCTTTGCTTCTTGATAAAAAAAGGAGAAATTTACTTGCCTACATATGCTATTCTACATATGTAGGCAAAACAAACTCGGGATCTTT